AAACTATTTCTATTTGAACACCTGAAACGGCCACTAGTTCACCATTGATTCATATCCGCGTTGATAAACTTCTTACGCTTGGATACTTGAAACGACTATTGGTTTATCATTGATTCATGCTTGAGATTAAAAACTAACCCGATAACAATTGTTCGTTACAGAAAAAAATGCAAATCCCTCTGGACACATTCTCTTATTTATTTGGCATACGGCCGCGGATATTTCAACATCGGCGTTTACTTCGCAAGCCCAATCGTCCCAGAATCCACCTTTTGCACTTATTACAACACAACCATCGTCTTCATACTTCCCATTATCTGGTTTTCCGGACATCCATTTGAAGTAATTTACCGGAGTGCCATCAGACCAATACCGTTGTGCAACATCATATTTTTTGGATTGCAGGCCAATGTATGCCCTCGAAACTTTCCCCTTCATCAAAAGATCTGAAAAAAAGAATTCCTTCTATTTTTGGTTTTCAGACACATTATTACTGCAGATCCAACAGCGTTTATTATTATTATTTACAATACGCAGCGAATTCATTATACAGTGCTGTGAACTTTTGGCAAGCCGAGAACCTCTGGCTTCTGAAGATTCTTATTCTCAGCCCAAAAGTCCGATATAGTCCGACTGAAAAAATGGATTATTGAATGGTGCCCACATAATGTTAAAAGAATACAGGAAAGGTCGCAGTGCAGTGAAGGATCTGTTGAAATGGCTTTACAGAATTATGTGGATGAGCAAAGTCGAAAATAGAGAAGAATGGAAAAGTTGCTAGTCGCATCAATAGCGAGAAAAAAACGCGACTGTGAAAAAAGAGCTAAAGTAACAAGTTGCGAAGTATAGCATAGTCGCTATTTGAATTGCATGCAGTATCGGTGTGGCGCTATTCAAGATCATTTTTCAGGAAAAAGACACCGGTGCTCTAATGAAGAAGGCCCTTCTTTGTTGTTTTCAAAGACATTAATAAACTTTTACACAACTTTTATTAAATCCTTACCTTTGACTGCGTCATTTTCCTCGTCAGAATGAATGGATGCAAGAAACGCTCCTTTTGATGCGCAGTCCAAAAGTGCGTCCATCCGGCTCATCACTTTGGCTTTCGTCAGCTAGAACTACTGTATTTGAACTTTATTACACGCGAAATCAACACAAAACTCAGAAATCCAAAACCACCTCCGTTATACGCTCTTTGTGAGAGGCAAGGGCATTCGAGAAGTAGCTCGACTGGTAACAAATGCTAAAAGGAACCACCCGCTTTCAAAGCTGTCGATGGCTTCGTCTTTTGAGGGTGCTAACATGTATGCCAGCGCGCCAGCACTAATTTACCATGGCAGTGAATGAAAAAGTCGTGGAAAGTCTAATTGTTCTACTGGTAGAATTGAACGTATTCAGGACTGTAGTGCTACTTACCTTTCTTTCATGTCAAAAAGAGTTCAAGAAAAAAAAACTGCATTAATTTATGAATCTAGCAAATAAAAAGAAAGGAGCAAAAAATTGTTACTATTAAGAAAATCGCTACTATTTTAAAATTTGTTTTGTGACAGTTAATTTTAGCATTTTTGTATTTGTGCTGTGTGTTTTCACATAACTTTTTAGACCGTTATAGTGTATCATTGCGGCCTGGGAGCGATAGAATTAAAGAGGCGGCTGTAATGCTCAACACATACCGAGGACGTTTCGGAGCGGCTAACGCCCTACCAAAGTGCTTTTGTTGAGAGGACCAGTGAGGTTGCAATTCATTCAAGGGATGGGCTGAAAGGCATCAGGATTACCCGCAGGCTGACTACCAAATAAAGCAGCATTGGCCAGAGTAACCGGGAATATTGCTAGCTGTAATTTCAGACTATGCGCTGTAACTCATCAAACCATGAAAAGTAGGTATTTTCAAAGTGCTGATGAACTAATTAAATGCATTTTCGCAGTCTTATTTTATTTAGCTGTTAGTTAAGTGCTATCTTTTTTTTTTTTCGTTGGATTCCTTGGACAAAACGACACAACTGGTTAAGATATCGAGAAGCTTAATGGACCGAAACTTCCTTATCTTAGCTTTTTCAACAATACTCGTGAGTATACATATGTATATATATGCTAATTTGTTGCTTTCTGTGTCACAAATTTACTTAGTGGTTGCAGTTCTTCCCTGTTCTTATGTATGGGATATTCTGTATTCGTGATCTTTTGCTTTATTTATTTCACTTTTATCTGTAGCTAATTAAAAGTTTCGACTAATTCAACAGATTATATGATTTGAAAAATACCGTGAAGCATTTTCCGGATTTTTCGTGATAGTCGAATCCTTTAGGGCATGGATTTTCACTTCGACAATCTGAAAGCAGAAACAAAGTTTACACTCACTGATGCTGAAATATTCGACTAATTTGTAAAACTTTAAAGTCAAACTCATCAAAAACAAAGTGAAAACCCCCAACAATTCTTGCGCTTTTTCAGGAAAGGAGATGTCCGGAAGTAACCCAAATGACGTGCGGGAAGAAGGAGCCGTCGATTGTCTTGTCCTTCAATAAGGGATACACTGCTAACATCCCTTATTGACGGACAAGATAATCGACGGCTCCTTCTTCCCGCATATCATTTAGATGAACCTGCATAGGTTCTTAAGTCTATCAACAGCTGATCAAAAGTATACAATTTTACTCAATTTTTGACTACATTTTACTCTGGTATCTTAGCTAGCTATTTGTTCTCCAGCTATACGGGTGGTAACTTTTCCACTTGCTTTAACCAATGCTTTGTCGTTTAATGGGCAAGCTGCTGGTAATTCTGAGGCTCGTTTTATTCACTGAAGAAAATCTGGCTCAGCAGCTTTCTAGACGGAAGCAATTTGGCAAGATTTTAAATACCACTTCGAAGTATCTTGATATGTCTTGAGTATAACCATCTCGTCTTGAGCGCGGTAC